AAAATTCTACTTTGCTATTCACATCTTTGAACATTTGGCCGCCGTCGCGTCTATGACCAACTGACGATAGCGAGAGTGAAATTCCTTGAACCAATTCTTTCACTTCTGGTCTCCTGCAGCACAATCTCCCCGCTTTTAAATGACTCTAACCTCTTTTAGCAGCTAGTGCGTACATGTCAGCAAAACACGAAGTGATTATCCGTAGGCACCTGCAAGGCAAACCATCAGTTGTAAACTGAATGATAAAAGTGACAGCGCTGAAGAGCAAAGCTTACGTGAGTTTGGTTTGTAGTTTCTGGGGCAACTGCGCACTTTAGCAGTTGGCTATGGTGCTTTGCCGACGAAATTAAAGTGTGATTGATTTTGTATGTCTGAGTGAACGAGTTTAAGATTTTCAATTGTCGAAAACGCCGCTCGCTTTCAGGTCGCAGACGGCAAGAGGACGCTGGCCAGTTCAACATCACTTGGCCGGTCAGATTCGTCAGACGAATCTTCTACCCGAATGGAGAGGTCGGTCTTCCCGAAATGCGACAGCGCTACCGCTGGCCAGCGATAGGCATTGTGCTCTACTATGCCAGAAGATGTGTTTGCGCCTTCGTGTGTGCTAACATCTACTTTGGCGCCTCATTGATCGCATGTAGCCCATGTTTACAACACTATGTGAAACGAATCGACTCGGCGCCAGAATTCTATCGATTTGCCAGGAAATTTTCCACAATCTGTGGATGCGTTTATAACATTATTATATTGTGCTTATCAAGTGTCGTATTCATAGCACTTCTAGTGTTGAACATCATGTGGTTAAAGTCAATCGTCTTACTAGGGAATGACATGACCGTGCCTCATGTTAATCAAGTATGCATTCAGCGCAACTTTGAAGCAACTAACGCCAAACCTGTTCTCATGGCAAGCGCCGCCCGCCAGGACCAGGCTTTATGGGAGTGCAAATCTATTTTTGAAAACTCAGGAAAGTTTCGGTGGACTCAGAAGAAGCCTCATCCGTGGATAATTGTAAAGCACGTCGACGAGCAGACAATCACCGCATGGATAGACGTCGACGCAGGTAAGGACGCAAGCGAGACCACGTCCATCTTGTACGACATCACATTCAGCAATGTCACTGCCTGCTACAGGAACAGGAACCACCCTCATTCGCCGCCGTCGCCGAGACTTGATTCTCGGGTTGGAGGAAAGTTGTTACGGCAACCCCGTGAATGGCCGTTCTGGGCGGCTTGTGATTGCAATTACGAAGTCAAATTTCAGCCTGTTCTCTCTTGCATTTAGTCGTGCATATTTCAGACGTTAGACCTTTCGATCATAGCGTTGTTATATAAGAAATTGGTTCGTATCCAGAGTTTTGCTTTCAGCTGCATTAGCTTTTAATATTCCGACGAAAGCCTGGTGCTCACGTTCAAATAAACCAACTCTTGTTTTGAGCATCAACAAATGTGGTATATAAATTCATGCATCAGGCATACGGTGATCCTCCTGTTTCTCCTTTTAAGCGTGACTGCCTCCTATGTAAAATGTTTGTATCGTTCAACTTCGGTTGAAAGTCATCTCAACGTTGACCGTACATCGTTCTTCACTCAAGTTACTTATTTGAACCCATTTCTTCGCTTCTTCGCCTTTCCATCTTATCTCCATAGTTTCGCCTTCAGTGCATTTTTCAAACATAGCCTACCATGCAAGTCAATTTTCTTTCAGCTAATCCAAAATAGATTTAACTTCTACCTTCGGATATGTTTCGTCGATTTTGGTCGATTTAATCCGCTAATGCCCAAAATCGATTGCGTATGGCATTGCCCAAAATGGAGTAGGGTGCTTTTCTGTTGAGCCACATTGGAATTTTTCAATCTTCTTGTGGCCCATTGACTGCCAATCGAAAAGCCCAAGAAATTCTTTTCGCGTTCATTTTAAGCAGATCTGAACCTTTAGTATATATAATCCAGCAAGTTATGCAATGCTTCATTGCTACGGTAAACCTTTAATGCTACCAATAGTTGTCGAACTCAAAATGATTCAAACTCGCATTGAATTTGATCTGTATATCGAAGATTGGTATATTATAATTTTATCATAGTTTCTAGTCATGAGAAGTGGGAAAATAATGAACGATATCTCTGCAAGGATGACAGCAGTAGTACTGACGTTGTTTTTCGAGATTATCACCTTGAGCCTTTTCCATAACCAGAACCTCTCTGGTTTGTGAAGGCCGCTGTGTCCTCAGCTTTTCAGCACTTTTGCTACATAGCGCCTGTCACTGCAGCATAGAATAAAATATTTCTTTCCTAAAGCAGATCTGCATTTGCTCTATTCCTCAATGCTACATGTAGACCTCCTGATCGACGTCTGCAGTATTTTCTTCTTCTATAAAAAAGCTAATGGGCTAGATTAATTGATCGTGCTCAATCAGTGCGCCAACTTCATTTTTTTAATCTGCACATGCACTGAAGTCGCATAAGCTCGGAGGAGAATAGGCCCATGTCTTACATGGTCTGTCAGTGAAATGTACGTGGTCAGTCCGGTTTTGTGTTTACCGGTTATATCCCACCAGTAAGCTGAATCTGCATGAAGCTAACATTAAAGCGGAGAGAAACTTTCTCAGCAGAGTAATCGCGTCAGATGATTCCTGAAATTCCCTATTCCATTTCCCAGAAAATTTGTCAGAAAGGAAATTTCGGATAACATTGTGAATGACGCGAATGACACTTCTAGCTCGAAAGTGTCCTATACGATTCGTCAATTGAATCTCATGGACATTATTGGCATAACTATCAAAGCGGTCGACTATTAGAAAGTTTCATATCCGTTCTGTGCTATCTCAGCTGACAGAGATAGAGAAACGCATGCATTCATCTCAAAAATGAGGGCTGTAAAAGTAAGAGTCAATTTCTCGGCATTTGTGTCAGTCAAACATCAATCAAAAGTTTTGGTATAATGGGTTTATTAACAAGCTGTCAGTTTTCTACATTGTTGGTAAGAATGGTAATCTATTGCAATTTCTCCGGATTTACAAACGTAAGCGAACCATTATCAGTATCCCAAGGGAAGGTTTAAGCAGGCCACTGTTCCATGATACATTAGCTCCTGCAGCACATGGATGTAAACACGTATCACTGTACAGAGCCAAACAAAAACTCATTTGGACACTTGCGAAATGTCACTGCCGTATGTACACGTATGCGCAAATATTGGTACCGATAATATTGGCCTATTGGCAAATGTGAGCGGCAGTGCTTACATATGCAACTTAGAACCAATGATCATATAAAACTTGTTTTCGTGATCACAAGCATCGCAAAGGAAAACTTTCATAGCATAGTTGGTCTGCTTTCAACACGTTTCGAGTAAGACCACGCGTATTTATTGAAATAAAGTCTTTGAGGTTCCAATAGACTCTTTGGATATTCTTCTAAATTTAATATTTGGCGCCAGAAATCGATGGTTGTTATTAATGTATGAGTTATGTCTGTAGTGGCGAACGGTCATAAAACTATCTGTTGAGATTTGTGTGTAATTTTTCTGTCGTTTCAGTCCAGATCCACCTAAAATTGACTACCAGTTGAAACAGCATCTCGCGTTTAAATTAGGTACGTATTGTGATTCGAATTTATCGATTCTGGATTTAGAAAATTCCTTGCATCTAATAGATAAGATTTATTAAATATATTTTTAATTAGCTGATGCATGGTGGCACAAATTCTGTGGCTTTAACGTGACATTCGCATAATCTGCACTTTTTACTCCGTCCCAGCATCCAGAAAGTTGCAAGTTCTTCAATAGTCAATTATAATAGACTATGCCAAACTCCATGCACCATTGTCAAAGCACGTTTCATATTACCGCGCTTGTAACATAAGTCAGACATGAATGACGTTGTGCTCATCAATTCAGCGAAAATGCAAACCAGTAGCTACTCATGCATTTGAAGTAGGCGGCCACCAGCACCAATAAATGCTTAATTTATGTATATTAAAATACAACTCAAGGAACCAACTGAATGGAGTTATTGCGATCAGAAAATTGACCACATTATCAGCCAATGTAGGCAAGGAATTTCGAAAGAAGAGTGGCAGTTCTACAAGCGATGGACAGCGGATACGTTGCCTGAGAATCGAAAAAAGACTTGACCATGTAGATGCAACGTCACCCAGGAAGAAAATGGTTATCATCCCGGAAAACCGCTCACAGTCGACAAAAAATATTTTGCCCAAGAAATTCGTGAATGTTTCTTCTCAGAATCGAGAAACTCAAAGTTGTCTGCACTTGAATTGAATTTGCTAATATTCCCGCGCACACGGTTCTTTACCGTATGTTTCTCTGCAGGGCATCCTGGAAACCGTAAGAGCAGAGAAAACTGATTGAAAATGATCTGTCCTTGGGAGACTATAAATGTATTTCTTCCCTGATTAACTTTGTCGATTATATTCTGTTCTTTGTAGAGTTTCAATTTCTGATTTATGATCAGGCCACTTTTGGCGGATATTGACTACTGCTGCTCAGCCAATAAATCGATCGATTGACCTATATTGCTTGGCGCTGTTGCTGCTTCTATATTTGAAAAAAAACGGAAAACAATAACTTCGACATCATCTCAAAAAGATAATTATCTTTTCCTATTCTACAGTTAGGGATATGAGGAAGTCTTACTCAACGATCAACATTTCGACCGACCGCACATCGATCGTGATGAAGGTGCAATTGTATATGCATTGTACTCTGAAGGCGATCGATGTGCAGTCGACCGCAACATTCGATCGCCAAGTTAAAAGTCTAAGTATTCGTGCCGCTAACAATTAAATCGTAAAAATTGTTATCCTTATTCATCCACGACACCGCACCTGAAAAAATTTCGAGACTTTTTATCTTTCAAAAAAATAGGTAAATATAATCCGAGGTAAGCATTAAATTCAGAAAAAAGACAAAGTGCAAACAATAACTAATAACAATTACTGAAATTTCTTGACGAGTTCCCGATTCCGGACATACAAGTCATCAACAGATTATTTTTTCATGCACTCTTAGGCAACTGTACAGGGTAATACGAGAGCGTTTGCCTTAACAGTGGACGAATTTCGTTACCAGCACCAGTAACGTCATCGAAACTTAATGGAGCTACGTTGCTTAACTGTAGCATAAAAGTCGTTAAATCTCAACGCGAAAGGTTGCAAAGAAACAAGTACAGAAGCGCGGTATCACAGCTGCTCTGGATGTACGAAAAACGTCGTCTGAGACTACAGTACGAACGTCCAGGACTCGGAAACAGTCAGCAAGTCGTTGACCTGCGAATTATCGAGACAGCCCAAATTTTAGGTATTGCGAGAGCTTGCGAGACGTACAACCGTTCTGCCTGGTGAGTAGCTTTACAGCTACAATTCCACAAACCTAATAGATGACCAAATTCAGCACAAGATGCAAATCATAATAGAAAAATTAAAATGAGGACCTTCGCCTCTAGTTGAACGCCCAATGTGATTGCATGATTGCGCTAATGGCTTCAAGATCACTGAAAACTTACTTGTGGAGCACTGCATATACCTACGGTGATAGAGAAGAATTCCAAATTGGAAAAGTTATTCAACAGCACCTTCTACGGCGCTCATGCATGATAGCCTACATTAATGACAAGAGTAAATAATCTGATACGGAGATACTGAATCATAGGTTAATAAAGTAAACAAAATAACTAGCGTGATATGTTGGCTAATGAAAGGACATATGTTTTACGCCGCATAACGCTTAACTTTCGTTTTGCCTGTGTAAACAGAACACTTCTAACGAAGGCAACCAACTAATAGAGCTCCCTGGTCCATTATCGCAGGTACAGTGATAATGATAAGTATCTGAGCGTATTGCAGCACAGGCAGATCGGTCAAACTTTTGCCTGTGTAATATAAATATCATCTGCAACCTGCATGTCACTCAAAACATTCAACTCCATCACGCAGTTCTGAAAACAGGATTTCTGTCACAGACTTGAAAATCAGTAGCGGGTGCCAACAGCTGGAAAAGTAATGCTTTGGATGGACTGTACTAACTTTATTTGGCTCTCAGCCATAATGTATAGAACAAGTGTTCTGATAAAACGTTGTGAGACGATGACACACAAAGACTTTAACGATCGACCATTGTAATGCACAAGTTTCCTTATATCAGGTGTAATGATGAAAGCTTTGGTGCTCGAAGAAGATGTTTATAATCGACAGTTCGTTGTTTATACTAAACCGCAACAACTTCATGTCGTTCTTCGCAATCACGCATTCCACTTTTCAGTATTTACT